AGTGAGACTCTGTCTCAAAAAAAAAAAAAAAAAAAACCTGAAAACAATGAACAGGGCTATAAACGTAATAACAGATGTACAGATATTTTTTTTCAGAAACAATTTTTCTCTCTATACCCAGCCCATTCCTACCAATGATAATAAGAGTAAGATATATTTGTTTGCAAAATAAGTTTAATGTCATCAAACTTGACCTGATTATTTACATAAGTGCAGCAAGAATAGTGATTGACTACGTAGGCTTTTTTTTAAGTGTGCTTTACTGAAACTTTTGATAAGAAATCTGATTGGACTTATAAAAACCTTTCGAGGTTAGGAAGCCAAACCAGGGCAGACTCCAGGCTTCACCTGCAGTACTTACAGATTCACTCCATATACATTTCCAAATATGCCATCCCAGTCAAAGCCTTGGTAATATAATTAGTATTTCCAACTGTATCCTGTTATAAAGAGAATATATTTTTATTGAATTTATGCAAATAACTATGTTGCCATAAAAATAAGAATACTCAGACATATAATAGTTTATGAATTCTGGAGGGATCAGGTAGGGAAAAAAAGTAAGTGTTTTAATTTGTGTTCACAGCAGTGTACTTTTCTACATTGCTCATTGTAATCTCTGCCACTCAGCTTTTAAAATTTCTTTAAACTGGGGTAAATAGAGGACTGATTTGGGGTACTGTAATTTTGGGGAACCAACAGGGGGTACCTCTGGTCCATCCAACCTTTGGTAGATTTTAATCTTTGTTTTAGCCACATACTGTTCATTTTATTTATCCCATTTTTAGTAACCATCTAAACATTTTCTATCCTAAATTTGCATTTCTGAAGGGATGACTCTTAGGTAAAACAAGGTAGAAAATTTATATCTGAAAGATACAGAATTTAGATTTCAGGCCTAAATACTATTATTTGCCTAGACAAAGAAAAGTTTAGGTAGGAAGCCCAGTTACGACAAAATGGTCAAAGGTGTTTAGATAATCAGAGTTTCAAAATAGCCAGCTAAATGCCAGAGAGGTATATTTTGGAGACTAATTCAGTTTGATAGCTTGATAGGTGGTCTTTTAAACTTAGTAAATAGTTTCTTAACTAGATTACTAAGTTCTGGAAGGAACCCATTAATGAACAGGGCAAAGAAAGCATTTTCTATGCCTAGACTCAGCATGAATAGCTCTAAAAAAGAAGCAAGCCCGCTTGACCTGAAGGCCAAAACACTTTGTACTTTTGGAGTAGGACAGTAACAAAGCCTAAAGGTTGGTAGATTCAGTTTTCTCATCAATTATTTACTTAAACTTTTCATTTTTGTAAAGAGTCTTTTAAAAGAAGCAATAAAATTTTCTTTGAATTTTTTTTAGAAGTGTCTGCATATCAGTAGACATCTGTGGGAGGACCTAATTCAGGAGCCTTCAGTTTTAAATGCACTTCTTAAAGTATAGTGTTGTTTATCCAGAAAATTCCACATAATAGCCAGTATAATTCTAAACTATCTTTAGTAGTAAGAGTTTGCCATTTTTGTAAATATTTGCAGATTCCAGGGACTAATTCTTGTACATATAAAAGGTAGGTGTACCCAGAAGGTGGAGTGCTGAGTTCTTTAAAAAGTAAGGATCTGAAAGCTGGGGGGAGGGGACTTGTGCTTATAGTCCCAGCTAGCTACCTCAGGGCTGAGGTGAGAGGATCTCGCTCTCTTTTTTTTTTTTTTTTTTTGTGAAGACTGAGTCTCACTCTGTGGCCAGGCTAGAGTGCCCCAGCGTCAGCCTAGCTCACAGCAACCTCAAACTCCTGGGCTCTAGCGATCCTCCTGCTTCAGCCTCCCGAGTAGCTGGGACTACAGGCATGCGCCACCACACCTGGCTAATTTTTTCTATTTTTAGTAGAGACGGGATCTCACTCTTGCTCAAGTTGGTCTCAACTCCTGAGCTCAAGCAATCCGCCCCCCTCCCCTCTCGGCCTCCCAGAGTGCTAGGATTACAGGAGTGAGCCACCACGCCAGGCCTGAGAGAATCTCTTGAGCTCAGGACTTTTGAGTCTAGCCTGGGCAATATAGTGAGACCCTCATCTCTAAAAGAAATAAAAAACATTATAAAAATGAAAAATAAATTAAGGATCCCATTTTTGCATTGAATGTTGAGTCTCAGCTGAGATAAAAGCCTAAGATGAAAATGCCACAGGGTTGGGTCATTGATTTTTCACAGTATTTCTTCGTTGCATGGACATTTTCTTGAAGCTGGTGGGTGACCAAATGTCAACTGACCCATTTCCACAACCAGCTTACCCTAACAGGAGTTAGGTGTGGTAAGCACTCTGATGCTCTCAAGTGCCTGACTCATGCCCACCAGTCAAGTTGTGGC